TCCATGATCTTCTCTCACTCTTTCCCATCTCAATTTCTATCCATACCGGGCTATGGTCAGTTAAAGTCCTTGGAAAAATCTTTGTTCTTTTTGTTTTTACAAGTAAATCAGCTGATAGTAAAATAAAATCAATCCTAGAAAAGGATCTGTGTCTATCTGAAAAAAAAGTAAAGTCCAATTCTTTTGGGTTATGTATTCTCCAGATATCTTTTAATTCCAAATCTTCTTTCATATCAAATAAAGTCTGTGGTAGTCTAATCCTTGACTTCGCCGAACTCTTTTTATCTATTTTAGAATCAATTACCCCATTCCAGTCTCCCATGATTAAAATAGATCTATAATCCCATTGCAATATTTTGGAATGCAAAGTTTTATAAAAATTATCCTGTTGTTGATTAGGAGCATAAATTCCAATCACTAGAATTAAGCCACTTGCTGTGTGCAGTTCAATTGCTATAAACCTACCACCTTCATCTGCTTCTATAATTTTAGCTGACAGTCTTTTATTTATATAAATAACGACACCATTCTTTTTTTCCAAATTTGAAGCTATAAAATGTGTTCCTAATCTTGAATTTATCAGATATTTTTGATCTTGTATTCTAACATGAGTTTCTTGTAAACAAATTATATCATTGTTAAATTGTCTCAAGTATGTAAATAATTTCTTCCTTTTCTGTGGTGAATTTAATCCATTCACGTTCCAAGATAAAAACTTAATCGTCATGTACACTTTTTTGAAGCGACAAGCACATTTGCCGAAGATTTTCTGAGTCGGTAGTCTTCGGCTTTGCTCCCCCCATGGCTTCACATTCTTGTATATTGCTCTTGACTCCTTTCTTATATTGCTGTGGCTTGGGCCTTTCCTGTTGTTGTTTTTCTTTGAGTTGCTTAGAAATTGCTCGAGTTATACGCTGATCTTTAGCTTCACACATCCGGGCTAGTCCAAAGCCACTTCTCTTGTAGTCTTAGGTGGTTCAATCACAATTTTCGAAGGAAGATCTAGCAGGGGCTCATCCAGAAAACCTCCTGTAGCTCCCTGCATTTCCATTGCCTCTGATTCCAGCTGCTTAGGCTGCTCTTCCATCTCTTGCTGAAATTGCTTCTCCTTATCACTCTCCTTTATCTCCAACACAGAAGATGTACGTGGGAATGGTGAGCTCTCTTTAAAGACATTAGAATAAAATTCTTCCGCCTTCTCAACGGTATTTAATCGGTATCTTTCTCCCTTATACCTCAAGATTATACCAGTTGGAGCATCCCACCGAAATGGAATTTGTTGTTTTTTTAATTCATTCACTAGAAATCCAAAATCTTTTCTATCTTTTAACATCTTAGGTGGTAGCTCTTTATAAACTCCAATCTTCTTTCTCTCCACTTGCACAGCAGAGAGAAAAGACTTTTGCAAAATATCATTTCTCATTCTTCTGTCTGTAAAATATATCACCACATCTCTAGGCAATTGTCTTTGTCTGGCCACCCACGAATTCACTCTGTAGATTTTATCCATTTTGCAAAAAATCTCTTCAGAGCTAATCTTTAACAACATAGCTAGAGCATCAGCACAAGTCTGTCTCAGGTCTTGTCTATCATTCTCTTTTATGCCTCTCAGCCTTATGGCAAATTCCATAGACTTGAACTGCATCATTGTAATTTCATTTTCAAGTCTCTGCATTTTATTGTCAGCATCAAAGATTTTATAGTCAGTCTCTTTCATTTTGACATCCATTTCTGATCTAAATTCTTCCACCTTAGAATCAGTTTTAATAATTGCTTCTGACAATCCAGTCACCACTGTCATTAATTTTTTGGTCACCTTGTCATATTTTTCTTGCACCACCTCTTTAATTTCTTTAATCTCCTGCTTAATTTCCTGTTGTGACTTTTTAAACTTCTCATCCAAATTTTCATCTTGCCTCATCAAAGCCTGAGCAATGAAATCCTTTAAATTTTCAAGATCAATCTCTTTTTTCTGGCTCTGCTGGCTGGGAGGCTGCTGTTCAGATTTATGTGTGGGGGATCCCCCCCCCTGCCGCCTTTCCTTCCTGTTTAGTCTGCTTAGAAGCCATCCTGCCACGTAGGCTAGCTTTTCCAAAAAAGGAAATCCTTTTTCCCTTTCCTCCACCACAAAGTCCTCTAAAAAATTCCCCCAGGTTTAGTCAAATTAAGGGTGAAATTGAAGCAAAATCAGGCTTGTTTTTTTTTTTAAAAAAAGATTTTCTTTTCCTCCACTTGTTACAGACAGTGCAACTTTTTAGCTAGTTGAAATAACTTTGCTAATCCACTCTCGCTTTCAGCTCGTTAACGCTGAAGCCGGGCGCCATTTTCAAGAGACTTTCACTCATTCACTCTTCTGTTTCAAAATTAATCACAGGGCTAGTAATACTTGCAGTTTCGAGGTTCAAGTTGTTATTCCACCCTGGTTGTTTGAATTTGTTTTATTTTCAATAGAAAGGTTGCTCCTGCCACCTTGTTCTATGCTGGGTAGATTCGTCCCACACTGTCCGGAGTCTCGGCGAGCTGAAAGGGAGCCGCGCCTGTTTCCTCCCCAGAAGCAAACGATAGCTATCTGGGGGCTCACAGGGGCTCAACCTGCTTCTCACCCACTCTCTTCCACTAATCCTTCAGGATTCGGGAACTTCCGAGCCGCTTCTCTTGATTGAAGCGGCTCTAACAGGCAGCGGGGCTGGCGGTCCAAAAACGGGACCGTCTTTTGGCAACAGAAGCAAACCGGAAGTGCACCAATTGTATATTTTAATTTGGATTTTTAATGGGGGATTTTAACTGTCGGGCCAAATTGTTTAATTCATTTTTAAATTGTTTTTATATTTTGTATTTGATGTTTTTTACTTCTGGCTGTTCACCGCCCTGAGTCCTTTGGGAGAAGGGCGGTATATAAATTTAAATATTAAATTAAATTAAATTAAATTACAATGAATGGGTCGCTAAACACCACGTTAGGGTTCCAATCTTACTGAGAAAATTTCACTCCGAATACCCTAACAAACCTTGTTAATATACTATCATGAAATCTTGTGTATATTTGTTTTTTTTCAGGTGGACCCTTTCGTTTTCTAAGTGGGGTAGCATGTCAGATCCCTAAAAGTGATACTGCCATTCAATCAGAGGAGTGGGGACACTTGGATTCGATTTACTAGCATTGCCTGTGTCAACAAATATTTTACAACCTATATCCTGGTGCCAAAGAGCCCTGAGATCCCCTTTACCTGCAGGAATTTTTATGATAGCCATATGGGTTGTTTCACTTTAAAGGATAATGGTGGGAATGCTTGTTTGTTCGGGTTCTCAGAGAAACTAGTAAAGAAAACATCTTTACAGTTATCTATTGGTTAAAATCTGCATTCTGACTTAAAGGGAGGGGTCTATACCACTTTAATCCTACTGCTTTGCCTAAGGGTATTCAGATGTTGCTTTAAATGAATGGCTGTCACTTCTGCTTAATAAAAGAAATCCTTTTGAACAACCATGTTTCAAGAGTTCTCACTTTCTTAAATTAGAAGGAGAGGCGATCCTCACAGCAGGAATGGTTAAATTGATTATTTTATTCAAAGAGGTAAATTTGTTTTCATTTGGAGATCATTTCTGAAATTTGTGCTTGTGAAGAAAAAAAATGAAACTTTGACTTTGGTTTTGTTGATTAGAAAGATTTGATGTTATAGGAATGGCTAGTTATATATTAATGTGTAAAAGCAAAAAGCTGAGGTTGGAGTGCATTCATCTTGTACGGTGCTAAGAAAAGTTGGAAGTCAATGCCCCTTTCTTTTTTCTCTTTCCCCTTGTATCTCACACCCCCTTTTTCCCGCTCCCTTTCCTTCCCTTAATTTCCTATCTTTTTTTTCTCTTCTTTGTATTTTATATAATTAAAAATAAAAATAAGGTTAAAAAGGAAAAGAGTTTCAATTGAGAAGGGTTGATAACCTGATTAAGGGTTTCTTGAAAGATGAAACCTCCAAAAGATGAAAATTGCCAGAAAATATCACACCAAGAGAATGAATCTGAGGAATATCTTCGTAAGACGAAACACATAACTTAGAAATGAAGTACAAGTCTATGGACAATCAATCACAAAGTTTCATCTACAGAAAAAAAAAAATTAAAATCTAGGCTTCAGCAAGAAAACATAGTTACTGTTGAGATACAAATAACATTCACAGGGCTTTCTTTGAACCTTGTACCATAACAACTAAGAATGCTACATTGTATCTCCAAAAAATTGCTAAGCAGAGCTTGGAAACACAAGATGGACATTCTGCTGCAATATGACTATCCTAGGTCTCACATCTCACAAGTCATCCAATAAGGAATTGTGGAGTTCGATCTCACTATTTGATTCAAATGAAGAAGTGGAAAGTACTGTAAGGACCTGGTTGAAGTGAAAAACTGTGACATACTCTGAGGACAACTTTAGTAAGTTTTGTTTAGTAGCAGACCTATGTAGCAGGCTTTGTAGCAAATGTTCCCTTTTAAAGGGAACAAAAAGCTATTTAAAGTTATGGAGGGGAGTTGCTTAAATTACTTTTAATTCAACCCTCTTCAAAACAGCAGCAAGATTAAGGTTGTTCGTCTGTGGAAATTCTCATTCATCCAGGTCATTCAGTTCTCTGAACTGAAGAAGTTTCTTGGATGAAAAGCAAAATGTTTTCAAAGAAAAAACCAAGAAAGTCCAGTTAACTTTTGAAAGAGCACCTTTGGGACAAGGTTAAAGTTCATAAAGCAAGGATTATCTGTAATATATAATTACATTCAATTAAGGTACTAGTAATAACCAAAAAGCTTTCTAAAGCAATTCCATTTTAGTAATTTTCTAAAGGCCAGCATTTGGGAGGGGGGCAACATCAATAATTATGTTATGTTGTCAATATTTAAATGGTTACCCCAAACACTATAATCAGGCTTAAGGAGTTACAAGGACTGTATGAAAGCCATCTGAAATGTATTTCTGTTCACATCTATTTTTAATTTGCACCTTTTTTTTCCAGATCTCCTGTTCTGAAACCATTTTTCTTCTTTTATCCAAAGAAGTATATCAAGGTAAGAGCTGCTATTTAGCATTAATTCTAGAAATAATGGCAAGACTAATATATGAAGCTTAAAAAATAGAATATTTGGGAAATATCATTGAAGGAGGAAAACCTAAGTTGCCAAATTACCTGTTCCTTAGAACTTGCATAGTATTTCCTCCATTTCCATAGATAGAAAGAGCAGAGAAGATTGTGGAAATAGAGAAGCAGGAACTGGAAATGATGATCAACCTGAGAATATCAATTTGACCAATAGGAGATGCAGAAAACTGGTGCAGTCAATATTCTATCTTGCAACAATGTAAACTGCATAATTTGTTACATTTTAATATGAAACTTAATAACATGTGCATTCTTACTTTGAACTCCCCCCACCCTATATTCATTTGGAAGTGGTAGAGACTACACTAGGGGTGTCAAACTCGATTTTTCCATGAGCTGGATCAGGGTTCTTTTTTTTTTTTTTAAATTTGATTTTTATTATAACATATAGTGATACATTCGGTACATTTTCGGTTAATTGGTGCAATTATATACATATATACATCTACATGCATTATTACTTGTCTTTTATTTGATATTGTTTCTTAAAGCTAGATTTAATTTCAAAACACTTAAAAATAATAGTGCTCAACTCTCTAAGACTAAATATAATACTATTCATATAGATTTTGTTAATTAATTAATATTTAATCTCTATTTCCTTCTTTATTTCTTTTCCCCATCCATTCGTACCACATGTCCCACACGCTATAAAATTCCGAATCTTCTCTGTCATTAATTTCTGAAGTCAATTTGTTCATTTCGGCGCACTCCAATATTTTTCCAATAACATGTTCTTGAGGTGGTATTTGTTTTTCTTTCCAATACTGGGCAAAGGAAATTCTAGCGGCTGTCAGAATATGTATAATTAAATACTTTTTCTTTTTTGCATATTCAGTTTTCAAAATTCCCAGGAGAAAGGCTTTTGGTTCGAAATCAAAATTTTCTTTTATTATTTCTCTAATCCACATCCATATCATCCTCCAGAATTTTTGTGCCTGATTACATGTCCACCAGCAATGATAGAAAGTACCCTGCTGATGGTCACATTTCCAACATTTAGGGCTCGAATTGGGGTAGATCTTCGCTATCCTAGCTGGGGCCATATGCCATCTATAAAACAGCTTGTATTGGTTTTCCTTGTAAGCCGTCGCCTTTGTCATTTTAAGATTATTATTCCATATTGAATCCCATTCGTTCAGATTTATATTCTGTCCTATATTTTTGGCCCATGCTAACATCGGTTCTTTAACTACTTCCTCTGCCATATCGTACTCCAATAAATAATTATATACTTTAGCTAGAATTTTGTTGTCCGTACCCATCCATATCTTGTCAAATCCATTTATGCTCGTTTCAATGCCAAATTCCTCCTTATCTTTTTTATATCTAGATTTAATTTGGTTATATGGCCACCAGTCTATAGAATTACCTTGTTCCATCAATTCTTCCCTTGTTTTAAGATTCCCTCCCCCATCTAATAATTCATTGTATCTGACCGTTTTACCCATTTCTAATATATTTGGATATATTATAGCCTCCATGGTGGAAAGCCATCTCGGAATTTTCCTATAGTGCTTCTGTCTCATTTCTCCCCATATTTGTATCAAGATCTCCCTTATTTTATGTCTATGGAAATAAGTTTTTATCTTCTTCCCAGTATCCCAGAGATATGCATGCCAACCCTTCTGGAGATCTGGATCAGGGTTCTATCTGTCCTCTGAGGGGAGAGGGGGGAGGAGTTTGTGGACACATGCGTACGTGGGAGTCAGGGTGCATGCTCACGCAGGAACTGCCCCCGCCATCCTGGCTGACTTCTGTGCGTATGTGTGCCTGCTGGGATGGCATGGGCCAGGTGGAAGCTTCCTGGAGGGCCAGCTGCGGAGCCCCTGCTGCTGGACACCTCCCCCCATGCACACACATATCTGAAAGGTTCCACAGCCTTGGCCAGCAGCCACCCCTCCTTGCTGCCCCCACTGCACCAGCCCTTCACCTGGCCGGCCGGAAGTTCCATTCTCCAGCCACTGCCCCACACAATTCTGGCGCTCCCCAGACTGCTCCCTGCCCAGCAATGGAGGCCACTCCAGCTGCTGCTCCGTGATTTTCGTGTCCCCCAGCCTGCTCTCCGCCTGGCAGCAGAAGCTGCTCCAGCCACAGCCTTGGGATTGCCTTCTCGCTGCCTGCTCTGCACCAGCCCTTCACCTGAAAAGTTCCATTCTCCCAGCCTGCTCCAGGCGCAGCAGTGGCAGCAGCTCCCTGCTTGAGGAGACGCCAGGTGGACGTGCTGTAGCCGCCAGGGAGCAGGCTGCAAAGTGCAAGAATTGCAGGGCAGCGGCTGGAGCATGGAACTTTTGGCCGGCCATGCAGGTGAAGGGCTAGTGCGGAGTGGGTGGCGAGAAGGCAATCCCGAGGCTAAAGCTGGAGTGGACTCCGCTGCCAGGTGGGGGGTATGAGAATCATGGGGCAGTAGCTAGAGAGGGGGAGCGGGCTGTTTATGACAGCGGCGGCAGCAGCTGCATCCCCTGATCCACGAGGAGGAGGAGGCAGTGGTGGTGGCCAATTGGCGAGCTATGGACGAGGCAATGCTGGTCCACCACCTGTGCACACATGCACACGCCAGGAGGGGTGGACTGGACCTGTGTGTGTGTGCACCTGCTGCCTCCTTCACACACACCGAGATGGCGTGGGCCATGCTGAAGTGATGTGGACCGGCCCCTTACAATTTCCAGGACAGCCACGTGGGCCGGATCTGACCACATTGCAGGGCGGATCCAGCCCAGAGGCCTTGAGTTTGACATCCCTGGACTATACCATTTCCTTGGTGTATGAATACATACATATATACGTATACATATGTATATGCATTTATATAATATATATTGTGAAATATTTATTTTTTTGTATTAGAGAAAACCAATTGATACACACACACACACACACACACACACAATTTTTATATATATATACATTGGCTTTCTTGAATAGAAATAAATATTTCACAATCTGATAAAAATGAAGTTGTTACATAAAATTTTATATCCAAGGACTTGAATAACAATATGTAAATTCTATTTTTTATTTGCAGAATAGCTTTGTTCTTTACAATAATTTAATAATTTAAGACCTTGATATGGTTTGCTTTTAAGCGCACCAACAGTAATATTTGCTTTATGTGCTTTCTTTAAGCACGAGCCTTTCTAATCTAATCACCCAATGCTCACTACAGAAGGTTTATATCAACATATTTTTCACAGAAAAGAGTGTAAATCAGATTATCAGGTCTGCCCTATTCAGCCTGGCACCTCACTGGCATCCTGTCATCAAAGATTAGGGGAGGGAAAGGAGCATGGGGGGCAGACAAATGGGCAATAAAACCTGTGTGAGTATATGATGGGAAATAGGGAGGGAGATTGACAGCTTGACGAAGAACAGAAGCTCAAAACCAATTTGTGCCAGCACTCAAGGCCATGCATCCTGAAAAAGAATCTGGTTTACCCCACACATCTCAGAGTTCTCAAACCACCTAGACGAATCTTCATTGACTGAAGACGAACAGGTTATATGGAGAGAGCTGGGATGAGGGGAAACATTTTGTATCTTTTTTCATGCAGGAAACTTAGTTCTAGCCTGACTTTGCTGCAGCCACTATCCTTTAGTAAAAGAACCTATCACTTCAGCCAAATGAAGTCAAGGGTCTTTCTTTCCTAAGGAACCCACCTCAGGCAGGATTAACATTAGGCTAGAACTGCAATAACAGCCAATCCAGAGAGACACCATTACCGTGGGGGCTGTTGCAAGTATGTTGTCTCACAAGAGCGACCAGGAGGAAGACGAAGCCATAGGATCTGGAAGATGCGACATCTTCCAGATCCTATGGTGGAATAGACCTCCCAAAGTGGCTGGGCAAGATGGAAGCCTGCGGTGACCAGCTGATACCTCAATGGTCATTGGGGAAGAAAGAAAGAAGACTGGAGAGATGTCCGGGATGACATTCACATGCGGGAGCCAGGGAAGCCACTAGAAAGAACCTTGCATGGAGATGGAGGAGGACATACCTCAGGGCGAAACAAATTGGGAAGACTAGATGCTGGAGTGCGCCATTGAGTACCTGTAGGAAGCTTTTGACAACTTCAAGGCTCAAGAAGCCCAGGCACGGATGGCACCTCTGACTGTTCAGCTGCTGCAAATAAAACAACAACAAAAAAATGTTAAAAAGTTACTATATTTATGTAGTTACTTTCAAGCACATCTAAATTATATTAAAGTAACCAAAATACATTTACAATCCCCAAGGCATGTCACAGCTTTTGAGCACCCCTAATGTTTGGAAATTGAAAGTTGAAAAATTTGACACAGCCTATATGCTGCAAGTCCCCACTGGTGATGGCACAGCCATGCCCACTGCTGTGGTTGCAGCAATATCCACCCCAGCAGCTCAAGGGCTGCAACCTACTGCAACCTACAGCTCAAGGCTCCACAACCTACTGCCACCCCAGCAGCCCAACCAGCAGCCCCGGGTTGGGCTGCACTACTGAGAAGGAAAGGTCGCAGACCATAAGTTCTTGGGATGAAGTATAACAGAGAACCTAAGCAATTGGGGTTTTTCCTAGCCCAGGTCTGTGCCTACATGCAGGAGTATGGCCCAGTCATAATCACCGAGGGGGCATAGGTGCAAGTGCATAACCATGGCATTGGAAGGGACCACAGCCAAGTGAATTGTCACCCTCCACAATGACGATGTCCCAGAACTATGGAGATTTGACCACTTCATGGGGGCCCTGCAAAAGCATTTTCAGGATCTCCTGGCTGACCGCAAAGCCAGAACCAGAATCAGGACTATAAATCAGGGCCACCACTCCATAGCTGTCTACATTCAAGAATTTTGTAACCTGGCATGCCAACTGACCAATTGGCTACAAGACATGCTAATAGAGTGTTTCCAGGATGGTCTTAATGATGATGTCTACA